TCATATTTTTAATCAATTTAATACAAAAAATATCATTTTGCCCCTGCATTTAACAAACAAGTTAACAAAATTGACGGCATGACTATTCATCCTAACGAAACTAAAGTTGAAGGACCACGTGAACAATTTTGGAAATTGAGGGACTCAAATACAAATCGGGTCTAAGTTTATAGACTAATAAAATAATTAATCCAATTACTAAACACCGTTGAATACAGTATTGCACTATTTTTTAAAATTTATTTTCAATATAGGATTGACCAATGAATTTGTGCCCAATAAATCAAGTATACTATACCAATAAATCTTTCGGCCACCTTTGGTGTGGTTTATTGGACTGAATTATTTTCAATTCAATCATATAAATATTTTAGGAAAATGCTTGCCTCCTTCTCTAGAAGTAGGAGCTTTTACTTTTATGCCAATCGCAATTTGACATATGTGTAGAAATTTACATTTTTAAGTTTTTGATGCATTGTGTTTGCATATGTGTCAAACTGTGATTTGCAAGAAGTATGAATGCCTTTTTACAAAGAAGGAGGGAAGCAGTGTCCTAAATATTATGGTAGTTATTTGGTATGTTCATATGTTGGAATTTGGCTTATTAAATTGGACAATAATTCAATATATTATGTCTTACAAGTCCCATATAAAGAAATGAATTTCAAACGAACTTGTTTGTACTAAAATTCAACCTATCCAAGTTGAGCCACCAAATAAACCCTTCAAGTATGGTATGGTAGTTAGTAATTTTTTTTAAAATTCCAATTCAATTTGAACTGAAAAGCCTTTGTAAAAAAAAATCGAGATTGTACTTGTGTTGTAGTTTTTTTGTTGGTCAAATCATATTTGTGGTGTAGCTTTGTTGTAAGTGTTTTTGCTCTTTTTAAATCATCTTATAGCCGAGCCTTGCAGCGAGAGCTTGTAACTAATCATGACACTAACATGATTACTTTGTGACGGAGTTAAGCTATGTGAGCAAGATTGGTCTAGTTAGATCACCACCATATAGAGTGTGTGGTTGCATTAAGCATGCTCTATTCCCGAAGATTAGTTGGGGCACCCCACACACATTGTGAGTGGATAGGAAAACAAAACTTGGTAAAGCAAAGCATCTTGTAGATATCTTATCGTTTATAAAAGAGTTAGTCGTTTTATTAGTCCCTGAACTTTAATTCGATTTGCATTTGAGTACCTCAATTTTCAAAATGGTTATTGTGGTCCTTTAATTTTAGTTTCGTTTGGACAATGGTTCTGCCGTCAATTTTGTTAACTTTTTCTGTTAGCAACATGATATTTTTATATAAAAAAAAAGAAAAAAGAAAAAGAAAGTTTGGGGAAGTAGAAATCGGGATAGAGGGGGAGGGGGAGAGAGAGAGAGAGATAGATTAATTTAAATTTTTTATTCATATTTTAATAAATTTTGATATAAAAATATCATTTTGCCCCTACACTTAACAAAAAAGTTAACAAAATTGACGGAATGACTATTTGTCCTAACAAAATTAAAGTTAAAGGATCATGGGAACCATTTTGGAAATTGAGGTACTCAAATGCAAGTCGGGTCTAAATTCAGGAACTAATAAAACGATTAACCCTTTATAAAAAATAATTATATATTATAAGTAATTTTGCTTTTATTAGAATTTGACCCATGGTAATAGTAATAGAAGCCCTTTATCTTGTCTTGAACCATCTCCATTGGGCCTACTTTAGCTGCTTGAAACTGGTGTAGCATGGAGAAATGGGAGCGGATGCCACCAGCTTGATCCAATTCACTCAACAAGCCCACATGTCCACAAGCATCAAAATCAGATTAGACCAACACCAAAATCCCACGGTTACAAGTAGCTACAAAATAGCCACAACCCACAAACGGAGAGACTGAGAGAGCAATTGTAGAAGGAAAGAGAAATTTCAGAAATGAGGAAGTTCGATCCATGGCCGATTTTCTTCAAGCGAGAATGGAACAGGAACTGGCCGTTCCTGGTTGGGTTTGCCATCACCGGAACCCTCATCACCAAGTTCTCTCTTGGCCTCACTGGTAAGCTATTCGTCCCGATCTGTTCATTTCAATTTTGAAAAACAAAACCCTAATTTCGCTGACCCATTTGTTTCTTCTTATTTTGTTCACAGAGGAAGACGCTAAGAACTCAGCTTTCGTTCAGAGGCACAAGAGGTACCTTTTGTTTTAATCCTTTGATTTATTGGGATTTAGATAAAGAGAGAAACTAGTTATTATTCAGATGAAGGCAATACAGTCGGTGAAAAAAATGCAGTCTTTTGAGTTACATGGGCACTTTGACTGTTTGCTTCATAAGGTGTATATAATGAATGTCATCTAGATCCTGCTTCTGTTACTTAGCAATTTTTATTGTTTCTCATGTTGGCGAAAACGTCAATTAGAGGTAGGCATTTGGAATCTGAGTTAAATTAGTTGATTTTTTCTTCTATGGTCCGTAGTCTTTAGGAGGAGGTCGTCATACATTGTGCATTTGAAGCCACAAAATTGAAAAATGATATGTGTTTTCAGAACTTATAATTTTGACATATTTTCATTATAAAAAGAACAACATGTTCAAGGTGTTGAGTTGGTTGATGACATCCCGGTGAGGGTTGGAATCAGATGGTTAGACTTGGTCTTCTGGTGCTGATAATCGGGTTGAAATTGTCCAATCACCTTGATCATCTCAACCTTATCATGTTGTAGCAAAAGACCACATGAGGGGTTTCTGTTTTATTTTTATAGATTATATATCTGAAAACAAGTCACTTGGACATGAAACCCTTAATAATTCTGTTTAATACCTTTTTGGCCACTAAACCAAAAAAATTTGGCAGGTTGGTGGTTACACAATTTTCAATACTCAGACTATTCCTATTGTCATCCTGGGCTAACTTTCTTCCTCTTTAGACTGTTGCTAATATGATGAGTTGCATTTGTATTGGGTTAGGCGGTTTTGTAGATTCTAAAGTGATTTAAAAATTTAGGTTTCGTACTTGCAGTTAACAAGGGTCTGAAAATTCTAAAGTAACGGTCTAGTTAAGTGTCTAAGTTCCCTACTATGCAGTTAAGGATAAAAGTCAAATGGGTGCCTTTCCGAGACATGGTCAATGCAATACTCAACTTTTACATGTAACGTGGGGTTGGCAGTGATACCATGTTTCAGCGTTTCTTGGGATGTACTGTCATTGATTTCTTTTGATTGCTATATTTTTATGTAGTGTTTTTTTTTCTTCAATAATCTGATTCTGCTATTTTTGTCAGTTTTGTGTTTTTTGGCACGTATCAGTGTTTGTATATCATCCTTAGTAGCCATACCATTGCTGGATATAGTTTTATGAGTCTGTCAGTTAAATTCAGTACTTCTTTTGTGTTGTGTTGTAGGTGATTTCTGGATGCACTTGTAGCCACCTTTCTTCTCTTGTTGCGGAGGGGGAGATTTGCGTGCTTTTTCAGAGACTTTAATAACGAAAGAGAAATGCTTTAGATACTCTGTTTTCTTGAATTTTCTTTTATGTTTTGGATGACTTGAATAACATGAGAAGAAAGACTTCTGTTCATTGGTTTTGAACTTGGTGCATTTGGCTGGACAATCTTCAAAAATGAAACAAAAGTTGTGTTACACTCATGTTATTGTTATAGGCTTATAATTTTCTTGTCGTTTCATTCTTGTTCTTAATTTTGTGTCTGCGCTCATGTCCCATTCGGGCAAAAGTGCTATATTATTTTAGGTGTGGTGTAGAGAATGGCACTGAAGAGGTGTTTCTTAGACCATCTCCAACCATGTTGGGGCTAAACTCAAATTTTCACCCTCCAAAAGACAACTATTCATGTATTTTTAGGACTCAAAATTTTTTTTCCTCCAACCTTGTAGACTCATAATTTGAGTCCGCAACTTTATTAAATTGTTTAAGAATGATTAACCCCTAAATTTTGTTTCTTGTTAATTTTTCTTGACTTTATTTTTGTTTCAACACTCGTGATTTAATTTTTTAAACATTTTAATCTAAAAAAAATAAAATTCCAAAACATAATTGAATTTCACTTAAAAAATAAAGTAAGTACAATACTATACGTATGCCCGGAATAATTCGAACTCTTCATTGAATTATGTAAGTGTGTTTAAATTATCTAAGTATTTTTAAATAAACGACAATCATTAAATTTTGCCGTTGAGATTGCTTAAAATTAATCATGATTATTGATTACAAATATAGTTGTTGGAATATTTAAAATAAAACCAAACAAAAAAAACAAACAAACAAACAAACCAGCAATATCAGATTTTTGGCACAAAGTTGCTGCCCAAACAGTGTAACCAAAACTGGGCCCAGCAAACATTGTGCAGCACATGGGCTTCAGTCAGAAAAAAAAAAATAAAAAAAGCAGATTTTGGGCCCACAAAATTATCAGTCCAGGCAAAAATGAGACTGGAATTCCACCTAAGATTTGAGATTTCTCAAATTTCCACCCCCCAAAATACATGGGTTGGAGATGGTTTTTAGAGGCTAAACTCAAAATTTGAGTTTCCACCCCAAGGGTTGGAGATGGTCTTAGGGTCTGGAGTCAAAACTTTACCATGATCCAAGAGTTTTGGGAGGGAAAAATTTCTTGGAGGGTGGGGGAGGGGAACGCAACAAAACTGACATCTTGAAAGTTGAAATAAGCCTCATCCAGGCCCTGGAGAGTGATGCCTAGTCTGCGCGATAATTGCCATTGTCCATACAAGTGGGAGGAATTTCCCAATAAAACAAGTGCCACAGGAAGACGATATCTTTTTGAGTTGTTTCTGGGATGAGTTAAAGCATTTTTACCTTACTGAGCAACTTGTCAAGCATCTTATCATCTTAGAAAAAAAGAAAAAACACTTTGGCTTCTTGCACCTAACAAATCAGTCTAAGACACTTTGGCAGTGTTCATCTAATCTTTAAAGGGAACATGAAACCAAGTGTGCAACCAGCCAATAATACAGGCATTAACATCGCATGGAGATTCGATGGAATAAAAATTAAATTGAATTATTGATGACCAAAACTGGGGGTTCCAAGTAGCACACTCAGCTGAGGACAATCTTAACTACGAAACGGCACTAAATGCCACATTTTGAAGGATTCCCCTTGGCATCTTAGCACTCACTTTGGAAAGGAATGAAAAAGGTAGAAAACCTTTTAACAAGCACCAGTTCTTATTTTTCTATTATAACACAATGAAATAGAAAGAACAAGGAAGCACAATGTGGTCACATGAATCATTGCTCGTCACAATGTGGTCACATGAATCATTGCAGACGAGCATACTCCAGCGTCGCCAAACATATATTCCAGGACGGAAATAACAAACTGCGCTCGCTCACCTATATTTCCAGCAATATAGACAATCAATTCTTTTTTGCTGCTCCCAGCCTCAAGCGGAAATCCTCCTCCATGAGAGGCAGGCCTTCCCGTAACTTGATCTTTGGCTCCCAACCCAGCAATTCTTTTGCCTTTGTAATGTCGGGTTTCCGCTGTCTTGGATCATCAGGAGTGTTCTCTACCCTCTTTATCTCCACCCCAGGGTTGATGAGCTGTAAAGTCAAATGCATTTGAAATTTTTCAAAGACACTTCAAGAAATAAAAAGCTTCTAGAAAAGAATACCATAACAGCCTACAAATGGAGAAAGACAATGGCGAAGACAAACTGACCTCCTTCACTGTCTCTGCAAGTTCAAGCATTGTAAATTCACCTGAAAGTATACAAAAAAGTCACCTAGGTCAGTAATTATGTGAGCAACTAGAGCACATACTTGGTGTAGCTTTTGAGATACAAACACATCACACTATCACATTTATGGTAGATAACCTGGGTTTCCAATGTTTATGGGTCCAGTGTGCTCTCCTTCCATGAGACGAATGAGGCCATCAACCTAAATTTTTTTAAACAGGTTACCATATATAACCCAACTAATTTCGATACACGGCAACCGAATGAAAAGGAAAAGATGTTTCACATACCATGTCAGAGACATAACAGAAACTGCGAGTTTGAGTCCCAGGATTTTGGACTGTCAAGGGTTCATCACTACAATATTGAAAACAGTGTGTAAAAATAGATCCAAACGTATGAGCATTCAAGGGAAAAGGAAAAGGATTAAGCTTATACGGGAATGCCGGTATGGAAGCTAATTTCAAGACACAATGCAACTACACAAATATGTGTGAATATCAAACATATCACTCCTGGCATTATAAGGCCTTTATGTCAGACAGCAACCACTACCCGATCAATACCAAAAACATGCTGGCTAGCTATCTTTAAGTAGAAAGAGACTGAATTAATAAGTGATTAAACTAGCTAGTCATGATTTTCTCCATGTAGGCACTAGGCAAGCAGCTGATATACCCATCATTAAAATCGTGGAGCATCCTAAGGACTCACCGAAGTGCTTGGGCTATAAAATTGCTGACTACACGCCCATCATCAATATTCATGCGAGGGCCATACGTGTTGAAGATTCTGGCAATACGTATTTCTGTCAAAGAGAACAGAGGAAATTAGATACATGAAACTACTAAAGAGCAAACTTTTAACCATTTCAGCACGGGAAAGAATAAACAATAATTTGTTAAGGTGGAAAAGGAAAAAGAGACAACACAATACCTATCCCATGCTGCCTATGATAGTCGAACATCAAGGTCTCAGCAACACGCTTCCCCTCATCATAGCAGCTCCTTACTCCTGTGATTATAATATGTACTTATTGAGGTCATGGTCTCATGAACTTAAATAAATCCTTGAACTATAAAAAACAATAACATTCTAACTTCTAGCATTTACAAACTATTTCAGTTTAGGTTATAAGGGCAAAGGGCAAGGCTTAGGGCTTTTGTTGATATGTATAAGCATGTCATACAGAACAGATGGCAAGTTCCATCAAAATATGCTTATGAGTTCCTATCATCAATGCAGACACATCTTTTATTATCCTTGCTCCTTGGTATTCAAATAGGTTTGATATGGGAAAATTCAGCAGATTAGGTTTCATCCAAAGCCTCTATACCATATGCCCAACATGATTGCAAAAAGCTAGAAGCAGGGCCTTAATTGAGTGCTCTCCCAAATATTATCAAAGATCCACACTATAGAGGGTCCTAAAGATTGCACTTTTCTGTTCACTTCCAAAAGTAAAGCCCATGAACAGTTCAGCATTTCCAGAATCTCCCTCAAGGAAGTCCATCTCAAATCAGGTGAAAAATTTAAGAGCTATCTAAAGAGAACGGAAATGGTCATTCTACTTCTTGCCAAACATATTTGCACACAAATTATATCTATAGTTTGAATATATAAGCAGCGACAATCTTCTAAGGTCTATCAGAATGCAGCAAACTTTAGGCTTCGAATGAGATGAGCACTTACCAATTGGGTTAACATTACCCCAATAGCTTTCAGGTTGTGGATGCACAAGAGGATCTCCATATACCTCTGAAGTTGATGTCAGCAAAATCCTGCTCAAATATATATACATAAGACAACTTGATGGAATACATTTATAAATTTATTATAAATGCAAGACTAATAGACCACCTTGCTCCAACTCGCTTGGCAAGTCCAAGCATGTTCAGCGTGCCAATCACATTTGTTTTTATCGTCTGTTGGAGAATCATATGCTCAAATATTAGATTACAACTTCAATAAAAAAATTTAAACAGTCTTTCTGTTTTAGGGACAAAATAGATCTTATATGATTGAACAGGAAAAAGAAAGTAAAAATATCATACATATGCGTAAGTACCATATAAGCTGATCGTAAAAATATCTAACAACTTTTTCATTGCTGATTAAGGGCAAATGACTTATTTTCAGTCAGGTTGAAAGACAAAGGCCAAGGCCTGTCATTGATGACTAAGGGCAAATGAGATATTGCCTGCCTTAATTTGCAACACGTTAATATGTCCCCCCCCACCCCTTACGAATCTGTCAAACTGTAGGCAATTCGAATAACACTTGACAGGTATATCGATTGCTAGCTATTTAATGATTGAAGAATACATGTTTATACCTTTACAGGATTGTATTTATAGAAAATTGGAGAAGCTGGGCAAGCAAGATGGTAAATTCGATCAACTTCGACCAACAATGTCTCTGTGACGTCTATAACAAAGAAAAGAGAGCAATTAAACATAAATGCATTTAAATAAAAGCCATACTTTTGTAAGTGACAAATAAACAAAAACATATGGAAGAAACTCGCTAATAAACCAAATTGTATGTACCATGACGAATTAGCTCAAATCTGGGATGACCAATCCATTTTTTCAGATTGTCCTTGGAGCCAGTGAAGTAGTTGTCAACAACAATAACCTGAGTAGAAATTGGATATATTTTTAATCCCGATGAAACAAATGATTTGATGTGATCTCACACTGTGTCAGTTATTGCAATTTTTGTTCATCATAGGTGCTTAATGTTAACAAAAGTTTCCTATCATAAAATATATAAATTAAACTGGATCTTGAAATCATTATGAACAGAAAAACTGACCCTGAGCTTTTATAAGAGAGAAATAAAATGCTGACCTCATTCTTTTCATTTTCCATTAATCTGTCAACCAGGTGAGAACCAATGAATCCAGCTCCCCCGGTAACCAAAATTCTCATATTGGACTGCCAAAGTAAAAATACACAATTAGAGCATTAGAATAACTATATGATACATATGACAATTTCGTCAGAATGAGGACATTTATTAGCCATCTAATAAAAAACAAAACATACTCCTTGAAATGCATCGTAGCATGATTTAAATCAAAACTGTAATGAACCCAGATCTCTGTTCAAGCAAACAAAGGAGCAAAAAATAGCAACATGACGAAGTTAGATTTCACCAAAATCTCAAAACGGGCTAAGATTATAAGGATAGGCAATATTTCCTTGTGGACTTGCAGAATTAAGACACGGGGTTTGACTTTCTGTAGATTGAGGGTAAAACAGAGAACCAAGAAAGACAAATTTTCAATACACTCCACAGTCCTTTCTTGTATATGTTCTCAATTTTATGTTAAAGATCGCTTCGTGGGAGACTGAGCTGAATTTGAAGATCTAATAGTACAAACCTATTCTAGGGGAAAAGATGCATGGAAAAGAAACAAAATAAGATTTTAAAAATGACACATTTGCTATAATCTCTAAATTAAGATCCTTCTAATAGTTAGGTTGGAATCAGTAAATGCTGATAGAGAAATGCAACAACCCAGTGGCATAAATATCAGCACACAATAAAAAATAAAATGGCAACACGGAAAGGTACTACAACTGTAAAAGGCAATTTACAACAACCCACAAGAAAGATATATAAATAATCAAATAAATTGGCGAGGACCTGAAAAAACTTGGAAAAACGCAAAGGGGATGGCAATGGAGGAGACTTTGTTGTGGTCTGGTGCACCCCATTGGAGGAATTGTTCGCCATATTCTTAGATCTTCTCTAGAAGTCAAACACCTACAAAAATTTACAGAACAGTCAAACTCTGGGAAACACTATAAACACATTACTAGATGAGTAATCTCATATTGACAAGCCTTCAAATTACACACAGACTAAAAGATCACTTTTCTTTTTGTTCAGAATCAGAAGTTCAAAGAAAATTATAAACTCTAGAATCATAAAGAAAGAAGCTTGAAGTTGAAGTGGACCTGAAAATAAGCTTCAGAGGATGATAACCCAAAACCCCAAATACCCTTTGGATCCAAGTAGCTTAGTTATCAGAACCCATTATTTATAGTCCCCCTCTCCTCAACAGAACTCCCAAAACCGAAACTTCTACCAAACGATGAATTTTAAATAGAAATATAAATCAATAAAATAAAGCAAACAGAAAAGCCTTCAAATTCACGGAAAGTCCTGTCCTTTACTGATAGCTCCTCGATAACAATAATTAAGTTTGAAGTCACACCAAACTATATTCCCTTTAGAAATCATTTTCCTTTAAAGGGTACCCAAAAAAAAAACCCCCCCCCCCCCCCTAAAGAAAAAGATTGCAATTATTTATTTACCTTGTGAAGTACTGAGCTATAATTAAGGGGAATTTAGGGTTTCTCCTAAATCCTAAGTAGACAAAGATGCTTTGGTGTGCCTATAATCTAGTGGGACTAGTGTCTGAGAGACTGATGAGGAAGTTCTTTGCTTTGTTTTCAAGTCTGGAATAAATATAAGATGCTTCTCCTGTATGTGTTTGTCTTTTTATACGCTTACGCATCTGGGGTGCTGACACGTGTACAGTACAACTGGACAAAAGGGTGTCTTGATAAGAAATTCCCTGTTGGATTCTAATATCACGCTTATACGATTTTGCATTTATATGTATTTCGGATTGAATGAAAGCGGATTTCTCTCATTTAACTTAGGCAATTTGCCATTTATCACAAATTCAGAAAGCATTTGCAATTCCTTTCATCAAAGAGAACGGATAGGAATATGAATATGATTCTCATTCCCTTTTATTTTGGATTGATTTTCATTCCAATTATTTCTCAAAATGCAGAATTTGCACATCTGGATAAAGGTAGAAGGCTGCATGAAGGATGTAAGTTATTTGAATGGAGTTATTATAAATAAAAACAAAATTTCAATCTGATTGATTTGTAGTTTCCAAATTTACTAAATAATGAGCATGTTCATGTAATGGTTGCAATTTCATGCATGGCTTGATTCAACAAAACACAAAACAACACGTCTTTAAGTGTTCTGTCATCTCTTTCTTTCAAATAATTGTGCATGCATGGTTTTCATTATTTCTGTAAAGCATGCATCTTACAGGAGATTTCATATAAATTAATGTGGCTTGAGGGATTCTCCCATTGAGCAAGTTCCTTGATTTCCTCTTCAATCTCTTTCGTTTCTCTTATTATACTACTTATGCAGAACCCTAAAGCACTCAAACATAAAACCATTTGACTTTTGAGCTCCTCACTTTGGACATGAATCTTATCAACTACTTCTTTTGAGTGTTGGAGATAAGAACTTATAATCGTATCCATCTCTTCATCCTTCGAACCGCAAATCTGAAAAATAGTTGGGTTTCCAGATTTCCCCAACTCGAGATCATGAGCTATGTCACTCTTTTGGTCAAGAACTGTGATTGATTTTATCAAGGTGATCTCCTTGAAGCATTCTATCAAAGAGCCAACCATTTTCTTGAAAAGTTCAAGGTCACATTCTACTGTATGTACAGTGTCCTTCCACGAAGCCTCAAGCATTTGTGAATTTTGTTCAAGAACTTCCACTGCATGAGCACTAAAGAGTAGGAGGTCCATCATTTTGGACAAGGACCTCAGGAGCTTTCCATAGCAAGCACTATGAAAAGGCCAAAACCAGAAATTGGGCTCTGCCTCAGCTTCTCCAATCAACTTCCCCAATTCTTCAACATGATTTTTCAGTCTCTTCTGGTTCTCTTCCAAAAGGGCTCTGCCTGATTGAAGACTCACTGAGTTAATGCACTCCTGCAATGTGTCAAGAGTCCTAGAAAGTTGAGCTTTTGCAAGAGTAGAAGCTCTTGTGGGCTGCAAGAGTACGTCAACCATAATTGAACAAGATAATCCAATGAAGGTCTCTGTGATTCTGGCTATGGCAAATTCACTTGGAGGGCCAAAATTTGCTCTGCCCAAAATTAGTACAGCTCCAATTACTGCAGAAATCCCACCAGCCTGGCCATACATTCGGCTACGCTGGAGAAAACTGGTGAAAATAAACCAAGGAATAAGGGATAAGAGTCTTATGGACAAGAACCTTTGGAACAGAAAGCAACCCAAAACTCCATACACAGTGCCTAAGACAGTCCCCTGTGCTTTAACATTTGCAACTTTGAATGCTGCTTCTCTGGCTGATGCAAAACTGATAGCTACTGGAAGTCCAGACCAAAAACCATTTTCTTTGCTGTATACCAAACCAAAGAACACAGCTAGACCCAAGGAAAGTGAGCAGTTGAAAGCTATCATAAGCCTCTTGCTCCTTACCCTGATGGACAAGTTACTCAATACCTCTTTGAAACAGAACCCATTTTGTTTATGTGAATCGATTGCTCCTTCATTTTGGTGAACCAATAATTTGCCTTGCTCTGTGGGACTTGTGGCTGCTAATTTTCCATGAAAGAGCTTTATGCAAAACAGAAAGAAAATTGGGGGTAAATCCTGTTGGGTTTGTGGGATGGTTTTAAGTGTTTGGAGGAACCTAACATTTTCTGCATTTGATTCAGGAACAGTTGTTGAATCACAGGGTGCGCTTAAGTTTACTCTAAGTAGGCCATCTTTGTGCTCTCCATTTACCACCTTAATTGGGAATGAAGGAGTACTGGTCAATGCCATTTCCATCCCTCTTAAGGGTATCTCAAAGCCTTGCAATCTGTCTCCTGGATTTGCATACTTGTATCTCGAAAATTTCAAGGGAAGTTTCTCCCACTCCATACTTTCCTGCTCAGAAGAAAAACACAAATCAATGTAATTAGCACGCCTGAAATTAGAGACGGATAAATCGACAAAAAGGTATTTATGTCGAGTAATGCTGCCTTCATTTGTTAGGGAGGATTAGACTAGACTGGACTAGACTAGCAAAATGTACATTCAAGGCATAATATGAGTATTTGTTTAACTTTGAGGAAGAATGAGGACTATCTAAAAGAGGTTGATGACTAAACTTATCCCTAGTCCTTCATATCCTCAAAGTTAAACAACAATATCCATATTTAACCTTGATTGCACATGAGATGCAGCCACTTTACTAGTCTAATCTAGTCCTCCCTATCCAACCAGCCCTTAATTGTAATGTTTTATGTTTTGAACCATTTTGGATTGCATGGCAATTAGAAGGCCACGTCTGTGGTAAGTTGGTTGTTGGCTAAAGCAAAACCTCAACCTTATCTTTTTTTATCTAACTAGGAAAAATATCCTACCAGTAAATGAGAGTGGGTTAGGTAGACGTGTGAGAGTGTATTTGTAAGGGGACAAGAGTCTCTACAAATATCCAAAATAGCCAATCGTGTAAGAGGGAGAATAATAAGTCTCCTCCAAAATGAAATGAAATGGGCAGCAGCCGAGAGCAAAGAAAAAAAAAATGTGATAAGATAAGTCCAATCTGTATTAATAGTAATGTGGTAGGAGAATGTGGTACAAATAATTTTATGTCGAATCATGATATACAGTTGTTGTGTAATTAATGTATACATAAGGTTGCTTACTTGGTGGCGCTTGATAGTTTGGAAAAGCTTGGTTGCCGTAGCAGCCAGGGACTTTGCTTGAGAAATTGATGCAAGTGCGGATGTGCTGTCTTCTGCACAAAAGGCCTTTACAAAGAGCTTGAGCCTCTCTGAAGCATTCTCACCAAGTAGCTTCGCGTTCTGTTTAACCTACAAAATATATTGGAACACTATTAATATTTTCTTTATTTTATATAATAAATAGTGAGTATGTAGTATTATCCGCACTCGCAGTTTGTCATTCTACACTCACCACATTATTCGCGGATGTTTTAATATAATAAAATGTTATAAACTTTCACATTGGTATGGACATATTACAAGTACCTCTCGAGAAGCCAGGCGTGGGAAGGGAACCAAAAAAGCCAGAACACAGGCCAAGACTCCAATCCCTGTACTTGCTGCCACGTGGACAGGGTGCATGATGGCCTGTATCTCCGCACCCTTTATATAAGCTATTACATACACAATCACAATCTGTCCCAAGGCGATGCGTCTGCACACCAAGTGAGTAAACTCTGGCAGAGCCACCACAAATGCAGCAAGGCCCACCGCCAGAGCGGTGATGCCGCTAGAAAGCCGGGCCGGGCCTATTAGCCACAAGCTCAACATGGCCGGTCCGATAGTTTGGGCTGTGGCGTAGAGCCCCAGCCATAAGCCACAAAGTGTGTTACCTAGAGTTGCATCGGGTGCAATGAGAATCACTGTCACATAAGAGAATGCTGGGAAGGCTACTTGGTGTTGGAGAGCTTGTGGGCCATAGAGGGTGGTAAGGGCCACTATGGTGCAAGCAAGGCATGTACGGAATGCAGAGGCTAGGCATGTGAGCCAGAGAGCTTGTGCCCGGTTGGTCTGGTATGGAGAGGTTGCCATTGTTTTATGAAAAAGTGAAATAAAAATGGTTGTAAGGTGTGTTTGGTGATGGCTGTGTAGGAAATGGAGCTATATATATTGTGTAGGGTTTGAGGGTTGAGTGGAGTTTCTGTGAGGGAAAAGAGTGATTGGTTTTTTAGGTCTTATGTGGGAGGCTCCAATGGGACCCACACCAACCCATGTAGTGAATGGGTACTGATGCTAAATAGTAGGTCCTTGCTAGTACATGATAATGGTGGTGAATGAGATGATTTTGATTTCCAGTGATGGCTTCTGTCACTTTTGACTTTTGGTACCAAGGTCCAAGGTGAAGTAAAAAACAAAACACAGTAAAAACTCCTTGCAGGTCGAATTTGTTTGTGTAAATTCATCAAATTACCACTATCTTTTGTTTTCAACAAAGAAATCTTTGCATGCTTAAATAAAATACAAATTTATAAATAAACATAGCATGAAACTCTTTGCATTTCTACACACTGGTTGAAGCCTTTGAATGCAACACCAACTCAAATTCCAATGAAACAGGGAATAAACTTTGCCTTTTTACAATTTGAAGAAGCAAAGCATAAATCTAAGCACTAAAGCAAGCAAATAGTGGGAATAAAGACTAAAAAAGACTCAAAGTGGGAATTCCCTAGGTTTCCACTCAACATTTCTGTCTTTTGTGCTAGATTTTGTCCCTCCCGGAGGGCAAGGGTCAGGCTTGGGATGCTAAAAACTGCTCTTATCAAAATATAATATATAATACAGTTTTTTAGTTCAAAAGCAAAGTTGCAGCTTCTTACGCAGCATACCTCACCTAATTTTAGCACACAGATGAAGCACTCCCTTGTGTGCTACGTGTTTGAAGGAAGTTGCACAAAGCTTAAAGGTCATGTGTCCACTACTCGTA